ATAATATAATTATAGAAAATAACATTTAATTAAAAAAATGATTATTTTATCAATACAATAAAGAATGTAACTGCAATCAGGGAATGTAGCAACAAGAGGAGTTCCAACAAATGATGAATTTTCTTGGTAGCTCTTTTTGTTTGTTGTTATAAAATAATCAAAAGCACAAGTTTTACATTTAAAGTGAAAACATTAAATTAACTACAATTAGAAGGACATTAAGAAGACATTATTAACTATCACTACTAAAGTAATATTTAGAATCACAAAATATGATGTTAGTTGCTGTAGATGATGTATTGTTTCTAGACTTTAAGCACAGCCATTGTACATGATCCATTTTTGAATTTATATCCATCATATGATCCAAAAATAGTAAAGCTTGAACATTTATTAAAATTACTCTTAACATATTAATTTACATTTATAACTTTAGTCCAATTCATAATTTACACTGCATTCCTTCTCACAGTAATATCAAGATATGCACTTGTTACAATTATCTATGCAATTTATTTTTGAGCTCCAAACTAAAACATTAAATTAAGTATCGTATTGTTTATAATATAAAGTTGCTTTTTAAGAAGAGTATATTTTTAATTTCTAAAAACTCTGTTACATTTTTGCTTATAGAGTTTACTCTGCCATCTTTGTGGTATATTTTAAGTTATGATTCACCAATCTTCATATAGAATTATCTATTGATAGAGTTAATTCTGATAATATCTATTTTGTTGAATATCTGTTATAATGATAATTAATGATATAAATAATGTTAAATATAAATATAAAAGTAGATGAGAAAAATAATTATAAAACCTAATTAATATTTTAATACGTTTTAATTATAAGCAATTTAATTTGGTTGATAGTATCTTATCATCTTTTAAATAATATTGATTATATTTCTATTTTATTGTTTTATAAATTGCTTTAAAAGTCTTATAATAAATTTTTAAATTAAATAAGATTAGAAATTATAAGGTTAGAAGGGAACTTTTTTCGACAAGCTTTTTCCCTTTTTCCTTCCTCTACTTTTTACACTTTTGATTTGCTTTTAATTTCATATGGATTTTTTTTTGAACATATCTAAATCAAATTCTCATAGAATAGACTGATAAATAAGCTTTATATTCTAAACCTAAGGTAGCATAATTTATGTTATTTAAGATGATTAGAAATATCATTGCACAAATTGACATCCATAATATTAGATCTTAATCACTTTTATTTTTTTTAATTAGTATCTTTATAAAAATTACATACTGTCCTGATAAGAATTAATTATTAAGAAAGTTGATCATGAGAATGAGAATTCCAATGCAGTCACTTCAAAAGAAATCTTTAATTAAGTTCAATTCTTTTCCAGTTTTTGTTTGCTTCCTATTTGCTGGAAGTTATAAATGTACTAAATTATCCATGGATTTCAGATTTTATTTTTTTTCTATACATCGACTCTAATAACAGATCACGAATTTTACAAATAATATTATTACTCCCTTCCTCATTAATTCTAATTCTGAATAATTCGATAAATCTATATAGAAGTTATTATTTATTTTTTTAGCTTATTCTCTCAAATTTCATGCTCTCTGACATTGATTCAATTAATATATGCTTTTATAAAATGCTTTTAATTTATAATGAAATAAATTTAAAAATATAGATTCAGATATCTTAATTAGTTATTTATTCATTTTTTCAATTTCTTTTTAATATTCTTCAAATTTAGTGTTAACTTAAGCAAAGGATTTATTCAGTTAATCTGCTAAATTATTAAGATTTTCTTTTGATTTCGTGATAAGATTAAGAATTTAACCAAATCCTATAAGATATTTTTTTACAATTTGTGTGTTTGATTGAATCAACAGCACATTATAGCAAAATTAAATTTTGAATCTTTGCATTTAAAATTTAAACAATGTCCTTAGATATCATCATTTTCATGAGAAATATCTTAACACATGTACTATTTCTATTACTTCATTTAATAAATAATTTAATTAAGCATACTATTTTACATTTTTAATCCACAACTTTAATAAATAACTGTAAATATTTCTCTTACTTTTTAATAAATATATTAACTATTTGAATTTATAAAAATGATTTGATCATATGAATTCAATAACAATCTAAACTTTCTTCTATATATAAGATTATTCTAATTTATAAGAAATATAAAATATCATTCTTTGATTTTTAACTAATAGAAATAAATTATATTATAACAATATCAAGATAACAGAGAATCAAAAATTTTGTTGAAAAAATAAAAAAAAACTTTGGAGAGTTCCTTAAAATTAAAGTTGATTTAGCGATATGGATTTTTTTTATTTTGAAAATTTTTTTTTTTTATATTTTTGAGGTTCAATTATAATTCTGTGTAAATAAAATAACTTTTCTATTTAAGGGGTATTTGATTTTGAGAAAATTTAATGTTGTTTACTCAAATTTTTTATGGATGTAAATATTTGAATTAATTATATTTTGGATTCACAGCATTAAATTCTAATTTCATAACAAACTTTTTTTTGAAGATAAAGTAAAAAAAGTTCTCAAATATTAAAAGTTTTATTTTTTTTTCTAAAGTATATTTTTCTATAGCAAGCACTTCACAACCAGGAGCTTCACTTATCTCAAAATATTTTTCAAAATTTTACTATCCTAAGCCTTTAATTATATTTTGATATTTGGATTTAAAATTTTTTATAAAATAATATTGCATTTCTTTTCTAAATGAAATTATATACAAGCCAAATATTTTTGATCTTTAGATATCCAAGCATTCTCTATTTCTAGTTTCCTTTAAATATCTTGATATATTCTTTATCATTAAAATCCAATATTTATATTTCTTAATCAGTTATAGTTATTTTTGATACTAAAGTTTAACTATTGATAGTACAAGGTCTAAAACCTTAGAAAATATATGAACTATATGAAAGATAAAATATATTGTCACAAGATAAGTAGTGATAAAAATGTTAAATACGATTTTCTTCCCAGTCAATTTAAGTCTTTAGAATTCTCTAGTGCATTAAGACAAAAATCTTAAAAGTTACTATCAATAGAAAAATACGAAGGCTAGAAATATGTTACCAAATAAATAATTCGTTCTGAATAATTTATAGAGGTTTTACCTTTATTGTATATTTGGCAGCTTTTAAAAAGAGATAATTAAATCTCATATTCAAAACAAGCATATTCCCTTTATTTCTTTTGGGTACATTCTGGTATGTGCTAAGCAAGGAATAACTTAATACGTAAAATAAAGAACAAGTGATAATCAAATTCACTTCTGATAGCATTATTCTTACAAATTTTCAGGTAAAAAATTACAAGGAATATTGAGATCTACCAAAATTTTGGTAAAAAGGCTTATCAAAAATTAAGCTAATAATTAATTATTATTTATTAACAAATATAATGAATAAATATAATATTGGGTACCTCATCAAAAAATTTAGAGCTCTAAATATTAATAATCAAGTAGACTATTAAGGAAATTATTTGATCAGAAAATCGAATATTTATGAAGGATATTAAATAAAACTACAATGAAATAGCTTATTTTGTTCTAAGGATATAAATTACTATCAGTTTTTGTAGAAAATTATTTTAGCAGATGATAAGGGTTTTTTTAAAGATATTAGATTAATAACTCAAGAGAGATCAACAAGAAAACTATATTGGGCGAGGATGATACAAAATGACTGCTCAATTATAAAACAATGTTTCAATATTGGATTTAATGTACATTAAGCATTTAAATTTGCTTTAAGTAGAAATTTTCAATATCTTGTAACAGATTCAATAACTTGGAAAGATAATTTATTTATAAAATCTAAAGTAATTTCTAAAATGGCAAAATTTCAACTGTTAGCTTTGAGATTTTAACACAGCTTGGAGATATATTTAAGAGAGTAGTCCACGCATTAAATACAAAGTTATTCTCCTAGAAAGCAAGTTAAGGAAACAAATTAGCATAATAACCTTAATTATTAAGTCTTTTACAGAACCTCTCTAGATCAAAGAGTGATATGTTATAAATTATCAAAAAAATTATTTAAATCTAACTGCTTGATTCCCTTTCTAATAGCAAAAAACTGAGACTATTGTTCCTTTTCCTATTTTATTACCTAAAACAAATTTCATTCTTCTTTCCAATCTCCACACTACGCCTACATGTATTTTTTAACCATTTTGCAATTTATTTTATTTCTTGCTTACAATTTTAGGGCGGGTTTTTTCATAGTATATTTATCAAAATTTCTCTCTGTGGTGCAATTTAATGATTTTAATTTAAATCTATCATAGCATATCTTATCAATTTATTTCAAATATTCTTTTAATAAACATATGATTTCTTCATAACTTTTATCTTTATCAAATAGAATCATTTCTATTTCTCTTTACATTTTCTTATTTGTGTTTCATATGAACCTCTATCCCAAGTGATTAAATACACTCCATTTTAACTTACTTATCCAAAATAATATAATTACCAAATTCAATAGATTATTCAATTATAAAGTCACTATTTTTTTTTTCCTTATTAAATTAATTTAGTCGCCATTCTTATTCACCAACAGGCATTTTGACTTTAAGTAATATTATGGAAATATCCAAAAATCATCATTTAATCCACATTTAACATTAATTTGCTTTGTCTTCCTATGCTATTTAGTATTATTATCCATCTCGTATATTTGGATTTATTCTTTACAAAAAGATTAGAATATCATTTATAAAACATAATCTATATCCTTACTAATCTATTTTTATCTTTTATTTTACACTCCAATTTTTATCAAACTATGAATATTCTATTACTAATATTTATTTATCATATGAACAAGAAATCAATTTATTTTATTGATCATCCCAAATTATTGAATACACAGAATTAACATGATCATTTATGGTTTATTAACAAAACCATTCATTCTATTTAATCCAAAATTTAATTGTATTATCCCTACTCCCAGATAGAATTAGATCATCATTATTATTCAATAATAAACAAAATATCAAATCTAAATGTTGATTCAATTTTTATTAGTAATACCATTAATTATTTCCATTCACATATTATAATTAATACATCCTAACCTGCAGATACATAATTAGTTGTATTCCTCATGAAATTCAAAGTATTCACCCCATTTATATGCTCACTTAACACGTATATTTGATTTAGCTTAAATTCTTTATGTTGATATACTTTAATCTTTTTGTTGCATTCAGCTATCACGATTGATCAATCTTTATTAAAATCAATTGCAAAATACCATTCATTTTATTTTATTGTATTTTATTTTATTGTATTTTATTTAATGAGATCAAAGGTGAATAACTTTAAATTTGGTTTTAAGATGTTTATTTGCACTCCTGAGCATTCTGATATACATCATTAATTATATACATTCGTTGTTAAATCCATTCATTTAAATGTTCCAATGATATTAATTTGTAAATATGTTAAACATGATTAGGTGAATAATCGTGACAAGAAGGTCTTTGATATTGCCAGTTGCTTTCAAATACGATTCATATTATTTACTGATTTTGATGATCAGCTTAAGTACATCTAATCGACATTTTGAAATTCTATTAACAATATGAATAAATTATTTTTAAACTTCAAAATTTAATTCATTAATAGAACTTGATAGGATTTTTCTAAAATGAATAAATTAAATATTCTATATTTGAATTTTTTAATGCTAATTATGATTTTGTTAACAAAAATGAAATATAATAGGTAAAATCATATTAAGAGATGATAAACATTATTTGATGTAATATATTGAAATTTAAAAATTATTGTTTTCATATATGGCAACAAGAGAATGGAAACTAATTAAACAGTTAAAAGAATAGAATCTCAGAATACAAGCTCGAATTGAATTTTCTAGAATTTACTTTACATTTATAATTCAAATTTTATCTAATAAATTTAAAAAATATTTTAACCTATTTGATTTTCTTAAATACTAATATCTCTGCTAAGTTTAAGAAAAGGTAGCCAAATTTATTTGTTAAATGATTTAAGAGAAATTAAGAATTTTGGAACTTGCGTAAATGGATAATTTAATATTAAAGAATTAGAAATAGAAATAATTTTATAATAATATCAATTTTTTAATCATTTTCAATAAATCTTTTTATTGCTTTAATTTACAGCTTTATACTTTCTATCTAATTAGTCAAGGATTAAAGCCAAAAATGTACTTTTTTTAATTTAAGTTTCTTAACTTTAATTAGGAATTCTTCTCTACTATTTATTCATTTTTTTATTTTTTGAATTTAAGAACCATAATTATAAATTTAATTTTTGTTCTTTAACTAGACTCAGTTAAATTATAGGATTTGAGATCTGAAAAACTTGTAAATTTTTCATCTAATTCTAAATTATTAGCATCTCGGTAATTAAATTAATGAATAAAATAATGCAAATATATTTTTAAATCTTTGGAAATATTTCTTTCTATATTTTTTTCAGAAAATATTTATAAATGCCATATACAACATTACAGTGAAAGATTTGAAAAATTGAAGAAAATCTTAAAAACTTTTTCATTTCATTTATAACTGAACTCAAAATGTTTTGCATGCATTGAATAATACCCAGAAATATAAGCCTGCTATAG